ATAAAAAACTAACATTGTCTGCATTAAAAGAAGATTCCTCTTTCATAGTTTGAGTCTCAAATGAATAATTTCCCCTTCACTCTATTATAGGATGAAATAAGTAAATTCTTAGGAATTTAATAAAATAAAAATATAGAGAAAAATATCAGAATTAAAATAATATTTATATAGAAATAAAATTACTACCCAAACATTTCACTAAGAAAAACATAAAATATTAAGAAGAGAATATGATGGCATCCTTGATAAATATGAAATTTTCTAATGAAGTAGATACCAGGATAAGTAATTAATTCAAACATTTAGACACACACTCACGGAGTAATAATATATATATATATATATATATATATATATATATATATATATATATACCACACACACATACACCAAAAAAAAAAATCAACCTAACACAAAAAGCACATAATTTTTTTAATATAAAAATAACAAAAATGAGGAAATCAGCAGACAGTTGTTGAATGAGGGGGCTGAACAATTACAAAAATGTTTATCTACAAAACACTGGAGTTGGGTGCTGAATATAACATCAATCAGCTATGTGACAAATTTTATATTAGTATTAATCACATATATATATATATATATATATATATATATATATATATATATATATATATATATATATAATAATATACATATACCTACTCCAAGTGCAACAAAGTTTCATTGTTCTACCAACTCATCAGACATGAATTATTTGTGCCTGATGAGTTGACAAAACAACAAAACTTTAAGTTATACTTTGAATGTAGGTATATAGATATTTATTAATATATAGTTCTTAGCTCTGTCCAACCACATTGAGCACTGTTTTGTTTACATCTTAAATTGAGTAAATATTTATTTACTTATCTGTGTATGCACGATAACACACATATATACAGTTGCCAATATCTAGTTATTTGATTAATACATGTCAGTAACTATATATACTTTATACTTTTCTCACTCTGAGGATCAGTAACATTTCAAAAGTTGCAGCTCATATTATGTCAAATTATGTAATTTAATATATGTCAAGATGAACAGAATTATAGCAATATAAGAGCTCAATAGATATTTAGAACAATAATAATTATTATTATTGTAAGAAGACACTGGAAAAGAGTTCCAACAGATTATTGCTTTCCACTCAACTTTGATCTTCAAAATTTTAAATGCAATGTCATTTCTCATTGTCTGTCTCCTTAATTCTCATTTTTTGTTATCCTCTCTCCTTAATAATTTCTTTTTTCTCAGATTCTTTCATTCTCAGTGACCTCCTGCATCTTAGTGGCTTTATCGCCTGCCTTGGTTTATGTGAAATGATTTTTAAAAATCAGTCATAGGTAACTACTGTAAACTTTTATTTATTGATAATAATAATAATAGTAATAATAATAATAATAATAATAATAATAATAATAATTGCTCTGATTATATATTGAGCACTCATATTGACAAAATTCTGTTCACTGACATATGGTAATTTACATAATTTGACATATAAATGATTATTATATATATATATATATATATAATTCATGTGAAAATTATAAAATAAACATGTTATAAAATCACTACAACATGAAACAAAATAAACTATTTTTGCCCTGATTTTATTGAACATATTTATGTTATAATTTTCGAATAAACTTTTATTTGCCCTACTTCCATTGATACACTCAAAGAATATATTTTGGTTGTAGATATATTCCATATATATATATACTTGTAGATATATATATATATATATATAAATTTTTTTGTTTTTACATTCTTTTTTATAGATACAAATATTTAAGTAAATGCTCTGTTTATAATAAAAAGTATTAACAACATTTACCAGCCTGAATGTCCAAGAAAATGTCATAGAAAATATGCATCCTCCAACAGGAATCGAACCTGTATTCTATACGGAACCGTCATATAGCCTGATGTGCTTTTACCGATTTCGCCACAGAGGAGTGTTTCAGTTAGCAAGGTTGATTTTACTATTTTTAAACTACAATTTTCCATGAATCTCTCACATACATTCATATCTGCTCAATCCAAATGTAAACAAATGACATCACACATTATGAAATGGACAAAGTCCGACAATTATTTTAAGACATTTTTATGTTTATCTATAAAAAAGAATGTATAAACATAAAAATTTGGATACACATCGAGCAGATATGAGAAAATCATGGCAAAATTGTAGTTTAAAAGCAGTAAAATCGACCTTGCTAACCGAACGATCCTCTGTGGCTCAATCAGTTAAGGCACGTCAGGCTAAATGATGGTTCTGTATAGGATACAGGTTCGATTCCTGTTGGAGGATGAATATTTTCTATGAAAATTTCTCGAACATTCAGGCCAGTAAATGTTATTAATACTGTTTATTATAAACAGAGCATTTACTTAAATATTTGTATCTATAAAAAAGAATGTATAAACATAAAAATGTCTTAAAATAATTGTCGGACTTTGTCTATTTCATAATATACGCATATATATATATTTCATAATATACGATATATATATATATATATATATATATATATATATATATATATATATATACAGATAAGATGAGTAAAATGTCGCCATTTTATATTTTTAATTTTGTGCATGCATGTTGTTTGTTTTTGATTTTGTCGACTACACAGTATAGTAGGGTCAATTGAGCACTGTCTGTGGGAAAAAGAGCACCATGACACAATTCACTCTGCCAAAAATTTGGAAACACCATGCTGTACTGCTTACCATTTGCAGCAAAAGCTCTAATACAAACATTTCAGTGTGTTTGAATGTCAATCTGAAGAGGGTGCAGAGGATTCAGAGTTGGATGCGTCTAATGGTGATTATGAAGTTGTTTGCAGTGATCACTAGTAATGGCACTGTTATGCCTCTATTCATTTTCCCACAGGGCTTCAGACACAACACGGAGTCAAGTACCTTGAGGAGGTAGTACTGCCCTGGGTCAAGAGGGTGGTTGCTCGAAGACCCTATATCTGGCAACAGGACTCTGCACAATGCCAAACTAGCAGGAGAACCCAGTAATGGCTGTCAGACAATTTCTGTGCACTCATTACTCCTTACATCAGGCTACCTAACTCCTCACACTGCAACCCCCTGGATTATTATGTGTAGGACACAGTTGAGTGGGAGATCAAAAAAACTCCTTGTAACACCAAAGATGCACTGAAGGCAAGGATTATGGCTACATTCACCAACTTAAACAAGGAGACATTCCAGAAGAGTTGTAGGAGATTCCATTTGGTGGCCGTGGTTGAAGCCAATGGCAGTTTTATTGATTAAATTTACTCTTTACTATTTCAAGATATTTTTGTGCAATTTTGATAAATATATCTATTAAAATGAGATATCAGTGTTATTTTTATTGTTACTTCATTTAGACAACAATTAATTCATCACCCCCTGTATTTATATATGTATATATATATATATATATATAAGCTTCATTAAATATGACACAAGGTGATTGATTAAGTTTTTTATATAATTTCTCCTATGATCTTATAATTTTTTTCTTTACAGTAGATAAAAAAATTATAAGATCATATGAGAAATTATATATATTGTGTTTTTGCATATATATAATACTATAACATATTATATATATATATATATATATATATATATATATATATATATATATATGAAATATTTATAAATATAAATGACAATAGGAAAACTAATAGTTGCTGGTGCGTTTCATCTAACATGGACTTTCTCATGGCAAAAAACAAAATGAATTTATTTAAACAAAATAACTAATAATAACAAAAAACAAAATGTCCTTAGCAACTGGAAGAAGTTAGAGAACGCTATCTTCATACTGTTAACTGAAATGTTAACTGAAAATTATGTCAATTGCTGTCACATGTGGAAACTTTGTTTAAATAAATTCATTTCCTTTTTTGCTTTGAGAAAGTCCACAGTGGAGGAAACGTGTCGGCAACTATTAGTTTTCCTATTGTCATTTATATATATATATAAAAGTGGTTACTGAAAATTTCTCAGCCTTATCACAAAGAGATTCCATGAATAATTCTGATGTTTGGTTATTTGGTTAGATGTTGAGAAGTGGGTCATGCTGAAGTTTACTTGAGGTGTGAAACTGACAGTCACAATGCAATTGTTGCTTCTTATAGCTACACTGTCAATATCTACAAACACTCTATATAACTTATTTACATTATTTAGACTATTGTCCTCATCTTTGTCACCATATTTATTACAACGTTTCGGCCATTGTACACTCTGGCCTCCTTCAGGTGGTTGGAATGTCGAACTGAACCCTTTATTTCGCTCACTGGGGTAGACTGTTCTAGTTCCATGTGCCATGTTTAATGAATGTCAGTTATCTCCTGTTAATTCCCCTCTGAAAGTTCTCCACTGCCTTAACCGGGTATTGAACTCACACTGGGTCCTGGATCTCACCAACGCCTTTATCCACTGTGCCATGTGTCCTTGAGGACAAAGATGAGAACAATAGTCCGAATAATGTAAATAATGTACATAATACCTCATCTCAGAAATATAGACAGACACTCTATATAAGTTTAATGCTTTTCAAACAAATTTATCAACTGGTTCATTCAGCGTTTCACATGTCTCACCTGATATTTCCCATCTCTCTCAAAATCAGTCACTATTGAAGCTCATTAATTGATTTCAACAGAGATGTACAAACAACTATAAAACAGAGATGTACAAACAACTATAAAATTACATCTGTCACTTGGAGTGAGGAATATGTATCTGTCTGCATGTGTGTGCAAAATAAAAATACATGCATTCATTTATATTTATTTTTGTTTTGTAATTTTCCTGCAACATACATTTCAAAAAGTAAAACAAATGATAAACTTGATAGCAAACAAGAAATATCTTGGTGAGATGTAATTCTATAGAAGACCTTTATAATAAATCCGCAAACGTTATAATTAGCAGAAATAATGATATTAATAATAATCAAATATTGTTACCTGAGAGGTGAGAGAATAATAAAGACGAATTGCAACAAGTTTTTTTCAACATCCAATTCAGAGAGAAAGGGAGGGGATTCGTTTACAACGGTTTCTATGGTAATCTTGAAGAGTTATTTCCCTTCTCATGAACACGTGCTTTATTTATTTGTTGTGTTTTGGTGGAAATACGATGGGTATAGAGATTTTTAAAAATCTGTAAAAATATGATTGTATCATTGTATTTTTCACGACTTTCTTCGGTAATTTGTTGCTTTCGGGTGCCGATCCATGCTTATTACATTTTTTTAAAACTAAGCAGAAATGAATAAAAGAACACACGTTCAAAAAATTAGACAAGTAGGTTTTTTTTTTTTTAACGAAGCCTAAATTAACCGTAACTATTATCTTGGTTAGGGCTCGGTTTAACCGTAGCCCTCTAAAACATACACTAGTTACGGCTAATTTAAAAATCTACTCAAATAGAATTGTTTGCTTCGTGGGTTTGTTTTAAATTACATATTTTTACCTAATTTACATTTTACAAGCTCCACCGCTGTAAATAATTTATAATTTTAATTTGTGTATTTTTTCAATTTATGCCCAGCACTAGTTTTTTTTTACTCAACCTAGTCTAAATTCAAGGGAGATTGAATTCACTTACACACTCACAGTACACCAGGGAATCGTCCGCCAGATTAACCGTGTAACTATTTTTACTGTATTACTCTCAAACGTCTTGTTGAAATTAGCCTGGCATAAGGCCACAAAAGAAAGGCCCAAACTTATAGACTTTTTTGTAAAACTAAAAGGAAAAAAATTATTATTTATTTGTAAAGAAAGTATCCAATGATGAACCATTATTACTCGACAGTTGTTTTGGTAAAAAAAAAATATTCTTTTACCCACCAGTGAAAACTGTTTCAGTTTTTAAATATATAATGTCATTTATGTTCTATACAAAGCCCGTGACTGCATTATTGCAATTGTTTGGTTTTGTAGAGTTTTCTTAATTTTCCATATCCAGTCCGACCAAACCACAAGTTCATGTTGGAACTTGTGGCGAAGACGACCGAAAGTTCAGTTGTCGGCCTTAGATGATAATTGGGTCGTCAGGCAGGTTTTCATTTTGGTCGGGGGGTTTCGACTTCAACTATTTTAAATATTTTTGTCGATTTTAAAAGCACAAAATTACCAAGCTGGAAGATAAACAAGCAAAAATCATCTTTATGGACAATGATAAACTATCATCAATCATTAAAGAAACGGAAGCCAATTTAATGCGGCTGAAGGTTTGTATTTTGTTTTACTTTTTGGTGGAGTCTTTCAAAGACGAGAAAAGTTTTTAAAAAGTAAAAAAAAAACTTTTTTTAAACGAATAAATAATGTAAATTTATTGTTAATGTTCAAAAATAAAATTAAAACTGGATTCTTTTATTTACTCGAGGTGAAAAATCAGAATAAAAAGAAGGTGCGTGGAATTAAATTTACATAAAGTAAAAAATCGATGGCAATAATTAGGGGCTTCCGATTTAAAAATAATAAATGTTTCTTTTCGATTTGAAATAATTCCTTCATTTTTTTTTAAACTACTTGAGATTTCTTTGACCATAAAAACAAAACTAAAGACCAAATAAGCCTTTCTAAGCGTCATTTTAATTTCTGTTAAAAAATACTCTCCAGGTTTTTTTTTTGTTTTTCATTTAAAAATGTTGACTTTTTACAAAGAAATCTTTGTTTTACTAATTTACTTTTATCAAATTTCAAAATCCCGTCTTGTTATTTTAAAAACAATTTCTTTCTGTGTTTTTTATTTTTTTTGTACTTAAAATATTTTTATTCAGAATATTAAAAAAAAATCTTAATCTTTGTCGTTGTTATTCGATTATTTCTCTTCTTGTTGTTAATGTAAACATGACAATTGAATTCTTTACTTTTTTGTTTTTTTTTTATTCATTTCTATAAGAAGACTGACCGAGAACAAAATAGGGGTATTGTTTCGATTTTTAAATCTTTTTTCATAACTTTAAAAAAATTAATCTCATTCAGCTTACGAATTTTACTCGCTACAACGGAGCTTTGTTACAAGTTTGCTTGTTCTGTTTTTTTATTCCTATTTAAATTAATTTTTGAAAAGTTGTTGAGTCAGTCGTTTTTGTTTTGTTTTTTATTCCTATTTTTTTTGTGAATTTTAAATAAATTTTATTTGGGGTTAAAGTTTTTTTTCTTCTTTTTGTTAACAATGTAGGTTCACCTTAAGTGGAATGAATCTACAACTTAAAATTCAAGAATGATATTTTAGCTAAAAATTAAAACTATTAAATTTTTAAAAAGCGTCTTCCATTTAAAAAAAGAAAGACACAGAATGCGGGTTGTGGAAAAGAAATTAATGCAGCATTTTTAGCAAAAGTCATTAAAAATCAAGGAGAAAAATACAAAGAAAATTAAGACTAAAAAAAGCAAATCCTGAGGTCAGCAATTAAAAAAAAAATTCTCATTTGTCTCTTCTTCCACATTTCAAAGATTTTTTTTAAAATATATTTAAACTTTGAAGTCTTTTTCTTTCTTTGTGACTTTTTTCTTTTTTGTGTAGTCAAAATGTAATGAATGTTGTAAAAGTAAAACTGTAAAACCCAACAGGTAAAAATAAAAATTCTTAACAAAAAGTTGTCTTTCCCTAAATTTCAATAATCATTTTTAAAAGTAAGGCAATTTTTTTTATTTGTAACTAAATAAGCATATTTAAAAAATAAAATGTATGAACGGGAAAATGGACGAAATTTATTTAAAGTTCTAAATGAGGAATGAATATTTAAATTTACCAATATGCATTTTAATATTTTAAAATAATTTTTAACCAGAAAAAGGCCTCATTAAATGTGGTAATAAGCACACGCCCATCTCCCTTATTGATTTATAATAGTAATTAAGTATCTATTATTACAAATAAATGTTTTTCACTGCTAAAGCTGACTTAGTGTTTTTATTAAAACTAAAATAAAACCTAGGTAAGTTTCAATAACTAAAAACTGAATTCATGATATTTTAACAAGAAGCTTTAAAAATTAAAAAAAAAAGCTTTTTTTTTTTTCTCATAAAAGGAATGATAAATTTTGTCAAGATATCTGACATTTTCATACTGTAATGACAAAAGTACACAGGTGTAGGCTTTAAGAAAGCTTGATTCAACTGAGGATACAAGGCAAAAATAGTCAAAGAGGAGTGTAACAAAACAAGGGGAGACTGCTTTTGATTATTCATAACACTTAATCAACATTTTTCTTTAATTAGGTTTCCTTTGATTTTAAAATTTTTTTTTGTTTTGATTTTTTCAAAATGTTGTTCATAATCTAGTTACAATCAGAATCTTTTCAAAGTGCTTAAGAATAAGTGCCTTTTTTTTTTTTTATTGTCCAAGAGGATATTTAGTGTACATTTTTAAATTGGACATCTTTTGTATATTTATTTCTTTTCATCATTGCTTCAGACTTTTTAAATGAAGCAGCAAATAGATGTTTGTTCAAAATCTGTGGAATTGAACATTTATATGGAAGCCAGTCTTTAAGATAACTATTTTTGTCCATTTAGGCTTTCTATATGTATAAGACAACCTCCCTTCTGCAGTAAAGTTTCTTTGGTGTTTTGTTCAAAATTCCTTCTCTGAAGAGGTAAAGAAAAAAAACTCAAAGATTACCAGATAAAACCTATCCCCAAGGATGATGGTGGAACACATCAGTTGAGATCTTATGATAAAAAAATATAGAATATGAGTACAAGTAATTGCTTCCACTTAAAACCCATAAAAATTGAATGCTGGCAACACAAACCTTGCAAAACATACATTTCATTAAAAAAAAATTATTTATTCTCTTTTCCAGCAACAATACAGAAGTCGGGAACCTCAGATCAGTACTTATAAACACAGTAAGTGTCTTGAATATTTGTTTTAACATTTCAATATTTTTCCTTTCTATATCAATTCTTCTTTTAAAAGATGAGGATTTAGTAAGATGAGCTTGTTAATATGGAATTCAAATAAATATTTGTATTTAGACACATCTAAAAAGATGGTACTAGTAATGGAATAACCTGTCACCCCCATGAGTGACTACAGTATAGGTAGTAACTACCTATAAGTATCTGTAAGTTAACGGACTACAGAGTCTAGCTGCAACCTGTTCCAACTAAACAGTCAAACTCTCTGCCTTCAGGGAGAGAGGAACCCGAACGAGGCTCCACCAAAGGGCAGTTTCATTGGGGGATGTAGACTCCCCCTGAACTCGTTTACACGGGTTCAAAAAGAATATTTTTGGCCAAGCCTACGGGCTCAGAGAACACATGTTAAACCGACCTTGTGCCACATGCAACCCTGGGGGGGGGGTGCTAAATATACTAGATGTGACCTGTTCCAGCTAAACAGTCAAACTCTCTACTTTCATGCAGAGAGGAACCCGGACGAGGCTCCACCGAAGGGCAGTGTCTCATTCGGGGAGGTAGACTGACCCTGAACCCGTTTATGTGGGTTCAAAAAAGGAATATTTTTGGCCAAACCTACGGGTTCGAAGAACCCACATTAAACTGTCCTTGTGCCACATGCAACCCTCGTGGGGTGGGGGGTAGCTAAACATACTAGCTGCGATCTGTTACTCAGGTATCAGCTGCTGTTGAACTCTCTGCCTTCGGACAGAGAAGAACCTGGACAAGGCTATGTCTCGTCCGGGGAGGTAGACAGACCCGATCCCATTTATGCAGGGTCTACGGGGATTTTTTGGCCGAGCTTATGGGCTCGGGAACCCCACATTAAATTCGGCCTTGTGCCACATGTGACTGCTTGGGGCAGTTGCTAGATACCATCTAGCTGGGATCTGTTGAGTACAATTCAGACTTATGCAAGAACTATCGACCTTCCAATAGTAGCACTAACTACAGGATTGACTTGTGACGACCTTGTGCATAACTGTTACCTTTATTCTTATTGTACTGGATTTTTACAATAAACCTTTACTTATTTTATCCACCATGTTTTTCAAGTATATATTCTTATTAGCACGGAATATAACAAAGACATTTCAGATTTTAGCCAGTCAAATATTAAAATCATCTTTACCATTTAATTGTCATCTCAGAAAAAGAGAATAGAAACTATTTTGATGCCAGGTCTTTTTCTTGTAAAAATCTCATAAGCTAATATCCAAAATTTTAATTTAAAAATTTTAAGGTTACTAAAGTCAAGACTGTAGGATTACAAAAATTGAACTCAAGCAAGATGATAGAATTTCATATGAAAAAGTGGGGATCATAACTGAACGTAATGGTTCTCCACCACCCACCCCCTGCAAAAAAAAAAACAGTTCATGGGTTTGCCCTATCATTTTTAAGTTGCCACTGGCTATGTGCCAGTTTGAATACGCATATGCAAATCTTCTAAGTGGTAAATCAGGGTCATTCTCTCAGATTTTATGCAATAGAAAATGTTGGAGTCTATTTTACAATTGAGATATTCCTACTTCTTTCATTGCAAATGTCATTGACAAACACCCACCTTCAGCCTTCTACAAGATAAATTCATATTTTCTGCACAAAAATAGATTACCAGGCTAAAAAATTATCTACAGAAACAGGGAGGTGAAGGTTATTAAAAATAAATGTTTTAGTTCCATTTTTATTAAAGGTTTGTATCCTGGCCATCCCTTTCAGAATTTTTTTTTTTTTTTGTATGTGTGTTATAAAGGTCCCCTCAGTAGAATGTCAATTTGTAATCACAGTTTGCAAAACAGTTATTCATGTACTGGGTATCTGACTATTGAAGTCTTGAGACTAGTAAACAACTCCCTTGTGGTTGAGATAGTTATGTATTTCTCACCAGTGCAAGTGGTCAATATTGAAGCTCAGAAAATTATTTTTTAATCCTTCAAGATGATCAAACTGTTTCTACTTAGAAGATTAGAGCATAAAGAAAATCAAAATATGACATCATTGAAAGAAAGCAAAATACGAATAATTTATAATATAACAAATAGAAAGTATAACAAGGTGATGACTTTGTTTGAAGTTTTATTGTTGCATAAAAAGTTGCAAACATTGACTTCAAGCAGTGAAATGGTTAAGCAAACAGATTAAGAAAAATGTTAATTAAAGCATGGATCAATGAGAAATTAAAATAAAGAACATTTTTTTAAAATATTAGAATCATAAACTGAAGATTAGAGAAGGTGTCAGAATGGCTTGAAACTGGGACGCAGTTTACATCACAAGAAGTGTACTTTGGGATGACACCAAAAGTCAAACAATTATTGAGATGAAATGTACCAAGCCAAAACTTGGCTGAGAAACTAACTTTTGAGTGACTCCATGGGTAAAACATTTATCAAGGTTGAATGTATCTGCAAGGACTTGGCTGGTAAATTTTACCTCCACTGTTTAGCAGGGAATATGTTAATTTATCATCCAACCTCCCCTAGTGTAGTAAAATATATTCAACGTTTATGAAATTGGAACATCTTTATATAACTTTGGATGAAAAAGATTAAAAAATAGAGAATTGGGTTACTACTACTACGCTAAGATAGATTGTTTTATTGTTTTTTTCATGATCTTTGTTTTTTGTTTGTTATTTTTTGCTCTCTCTCTATGGTTATTGACAAGTAGTTGGATTTGGGAAAGGAGGTGAAAATTTTGACCCATAACGTAATTTTTCATCTTGATAACACCTGTGAGTTTAAAGATGATGCTTGATTCTTTATACATACCAGTGTTTTCAGGTATGGGGGTTCTGGCCATCTGTGTCACTGATAACTATATGTATATGTAAGTGATAGAAAACTGAGTAAAAGGGTAGTCATTCATCGCAGTTACCAAGAAAGTTAGAATCTGAATCACCAGGAGTAGCGAACAGTTGCAATCAGATTTGATAGTAGGAGAATGGAAACCAGCCATCAGGAGTAGTATCCAAAAACGGACAGTTTTTTAGAATTAAAAAATCATGGAATGCCCAAAGTGATATTAAGATTTAATAGTTACAAAAATTCACTTAAAATCATTGTCAGACATGTCAAAGAACACACATACACACAATAAATACTGTTAAACCAAATGGCTACTCAAAGTCACTTAGTTTTATATTTGATGTTCTTTTTATGTTTTTTGTTAACACTTTTGTCTGCTGTCCTGGGTAAGACGATAAACTACGTCCAACATCAAAGCCTCTGCTCAGGAGGTATTGAGGAGCGTGGAACCACCTCTTAAATTGCTGGTGTTCCCAGGTCCATCCTGACGTGGGGTGGTAGCATCTGTTAGGGTCCCAGCTATGGGCAAATAGTTAACACCCAAACTTGTATAAAAATAGATTTTAATACCAGAAATACTTTGTCATAAAAAAAAAATTACCAGCAATAATTTTTGAAGGAAAAATTATCACCAATGCTTAAAAAAAAAAAAATAAACAGCAATATAAACTAAATTTCTTAAAAGAAGTTGGATTGTACTAAAAAATATGAGTAATTGAAAAATGGTTCAAATATATATATACTTGTGACTGATTGGAAAAAAAAAAAAAATTCTGTCAGGTGTATCAATTATTTTATTTATTTTTTTTAAACTTATCTTTCTTTTCTTACAGCTGGAGCTCGGAACTTGCCACCTCCAATTGAAATGGATACTCCAGCAAACAGGAGTTCATCTTTATTTTTGGGGTTTCTCAACCAAATAAAAGGACAACTTGATGAGCAATCACAGGTCAGGGATCACAAAACTGAACTTTTCTTGAAGTATTTTTAAGTCTTGAAGTATTTTTAAGTATATTAAAATGGTTTTCTCAACAAGCATGTCAATTAGATTCTTTTTCTTCTTTTTTTTTTTTTTCTTGAAGTATTTTTAAGTATATTAAAATGGTTTTATCTACAAGCATGTCAATTAGATTCATTTTTTTTTTTTTTTGCTTACAAAATCACAATTTATGTATATCTGCCTCACCCCAACTTTTTTTTTCCCTCCTCAACAAGGTAGAATATCAAGTAGAAAATTCAGATAATTCAGGGACATACCATTTGGTGTCAATAACAACAAATTTTTGGGGGTAAAATTAAGTTTAGGTGAATATATGCCTAATAAAAAAGAGGGAGTCCACAGGGCTTTGTGCAAAAGTTCTGAGGTTACTGGTGGAACAAGTATGTGTAAAACCCGAAACTTGCAATAAAACCTGAGCATATCACTGATGATTCACCTTAATGCATCTTATTGTTTTGTTTTTTTTTTTTTAATTATTTTTTTAATCCATTAAAAGCAAGGCAATAAAGCCACTAAGATGCTTGAGGTTACTGAGCGTAAGAGAATATGAGAAAAAGAAAACATTATTAAGGAGAGCGAGCAATAAAAGAACAGGAATTAAGGTGGCAGAAGATAATCATTGACATTGCATTTAAATCTTATGTTTTGCAATTTTATAAAATAAATAATAAGGAATCTTAAATTTTGACACTCAGTTGCATTTAAAATTATGGTCTGTCTCCTGATTAGAAACTGATTAATTTCAAAACCAAATTCAAATTGTTAGAATCATGTTGGTATCAATATCCAGTAAAGATAATTCATTTTGTCGATGTATAAGACCCACAGGATTATGAGACTCCCCACCATCTACTGTTCCTTTTCAGTAGAGAATATTAAGAAAAAATTGTTGGATGATGTCATACCAAAAAGGACCCACTGGAACAAGGCAGTCATCTCTCATTCAGGGCAGTCATCTCTCATTCAGGGCAGTTGTCTCTCAGCATCCTCGTCAGCTCCCTCAACCCAACTGCCAAACCCTTCAGACACACTCATTTTATAGACCATGACAAAGCAGCCGATTGGTTGAGTGAGAGAGTTTTATATATGCGTAGACGCACTCTGCCAATTCTCCCTTCCTCCAACAGCTCTGCAATACCATACACATGCAATGTGTGGGCATTTTCAGGCATGATGTTGCATATCTCGCTCACGACTATCACAGATGATACACTGAATGTTATTTGAGATTCAACCATGTTCTTTATTTAGTGGCATTCATTTTGGATATCTATGCTTTTCTATTCTTACATTTTGTCACTGTGGCCTCCAGTCTTCTTCAGATTTCTCTTATCATGCTCAGTAGCTGCAGAATTTTGAACTGAATCCACAGTATTGTTCATATTCCATTTTCCAGTGCAAGAAACAGACAAGTGACACAAATATGGATAAGACTGGTTATCTCCCCTAACCAAGGAAAACAGAATGAGAACAATATACCCTTGTAAATTGATTAAAGGGTTTAGTTTGAGATGACTGACAATTAAAGAAGGCTGCAGTGTATAGTGTCCAAGACATTGAGAGTATAACAACCAAGATAGTAGTCTGAATGGAAAAGCATAATATTGGCCCATTTGAAAACGAGTTTCTTTTTGTCTTTTTTTGTGCATTTATCACAAATTTCTGAAATTTAATGCTTGGAAAGAAAAAAGTAGGTCTTGTATGTCATCAAATGCCATAATGACCTGAATGGATGTAATATTTCTTATAGATCTGTTTCTGCTTGTTAAAAAAAGACATTCAATCTATACAATTTCAGATATTTTGTTGTCAATTTGATCATTCAAAATATTTAAAATTTTTAAACTGTTATTTACTTTCAGACTCTCCACAAAATCAATTCCACAGTCCAGAAACTTGAAGCCGAAAACGCTCTTTATAAACAAGAATTGATGACCGCCCACAGTGAGTTGAATATAATTTGGCTTTGAACTGATTCAAAAGCAATTGAAATCTGATTGTTTTTATTGTCTCAGTGGAAGTGAACATGATTTTAAGAATATTCATCTTGTCTTAATGTGACAAATCTTGTTAAAGAACAACATTTATAACAAAATCTCCCAAATTTTTCTCTTATATTTATGAATAAATTTAAATTAGAAAATTAGAGAAATTTACTCACTCAGCCATTTTTTTTTTTTTTTTTTTTGCCTTGCTATAAAAATTCATCTGAGGCTTTTTTTTTTTTTTAAGTTTTAAAAGTTAAAATATCTAATTATATTTAATAGATAAAGTGTTTTTATTTTTTTTTTTATGTTTAAATTATAAAGATTAGACTTCAATCCACTTTTCCTTTAAACTGTTACAGTTTTTCCAATGGCTGAGAATTGGTTTTAAGAAAATATTTCAATTTAAGCATAATGCTTCTTGGTGTTTACTTTAAATATCACTTTGCAACTTGAAAAGTATCACTCTTGAAAATAAGAAATATTTTTATTTGAAAAATAAACTGATATATTTTTTATTATACATTAATTCTGATCAAAAAACAACCATACTGGAATTTTTTTTTTTTTTTTTCTCCTCCTTGTCAATGAAATGATGTCCTTTTAATCTGATCTTTGAGGTTCACATCAATGACAGTACAATAAAGTTTTATTCCAACCCCCCAAATTCCTGAAAAGATTTTAATTTGTTTAATATAGCTTTGGTGTTTATTTAACAAGTAAGTGTGGCAATCTTTGTCTTACCTTTTAAGAGAAATCTTTTTTAAAATGGAATTTGTTTCAATTAGATGACTGAGAATTGTAATAAAATTAAAATTTCTCATAAAAAGATATTTAATTACAAAATGTCTAAGCTCAATGTCTTCATTGTGCATTAAAATAATGGCAGTCATATTTAGGCAAATGTACCTACCTCCATTTGGGGTCAGAAAGTATAAAATTTTCAAAATAAAGGAAACATTTTGGGCCAAAGCATAAAATAGCCATGTAGGAATAGCTTAAAATATTGGCTACAAACTCTTTTTTTTTTTTCCCAAATAAAAATACTTAGGATAACCAAGTTTGAAAAAGTAAAAGATTTTAATATTTCACAAGACCAGTCTAATTGGGCTTTAAGTAAGGATCAAACTCACTAACAGTTTGCACGACTAAACATCTAACCATTACTCTATGGTAGGTGATTATCAATGCAAAAAACTATTGGGTTGTTTCAAAATATAATTTTGTATTTGTTTGATGGCATTAGAAGCATTTAGTTTTATCTCCATTCATAAAGGTGGCTTTTGATTGTATTGTGACAAATATCATATTAGTGTGCATTAACAAAAATGAATTTGTCAAAATTGGTCAAGAAGATCATCTTCAAAACTAAAAGCAGTATTAAAGAAGTGTAACAATTTTCAGGTCAGCCTAAGAAAAAAAATGTCAACCATAGGCTAATACTCCCCAGAGATCTCCATATTAATAAAGTCTTATGAGACTATGGCGTTTGGCTCTGAATGGGGTTTCAGAGTGCATCACTTACCATGTCTTAATTGGCTGACTCAAGAATGTCTGTGTCTTCCACACTCTACAAAGTTTGATGTTGATATTCTGTCATTCTCACCAGTCCTAACCCTTGACTATTTCATGCCATTGCTTCTATGTTTTTTCTTTTTTCAGCAAAATTCATTCAGTTCTTAATTATCTTGACCTTCATCATTAGTGGCTGTAAATCTTTTCTCTGTGATAAGGTCATTTGGGCTGCTCTAAACTCTTTATTCAATTAAAAAAAATTTTTTAATTCATGATTTTTTTTTTTTTTTTTTCATAACTACTTACATGTAACTGAATCTAGTTATTTTTTAAATTTCTAAATGATTTCTTTCCATCTTTAAATCTTGCTTTGTAACGTTCATGTCTTAACTTACATGACAACTGTTAACCTTGGATGACATAAAAAAAATTATTCCAATGACAGCATGCACTTTGGTCTTTGAACAATTTAACAGAGTTCATAGTTGAATATTACAGAATGCAGGAGACATAGAGCAAGTTATTTGTTTTATTTTTAATTTTTTTTTTTTTTTTTTAGCCAATATCCACCAGTTATCATCTCTTTTGGATAACGAACGACGAAAATCCCATTTGTCTTTGGAGAGACACTTCATCCAAATGCAAGAAATGCTGTGCACAGAAATGAAGAGAATGTCACATGAAATAAATGAATTGAAGCTTAAATGTTGTCAACAGAATTTTCCTGCCACTCCTTCATCAACTTATCCGCAAACTGCTTCTAGCAGTTTCCAACAAAGCAAGTACGTATTAAAAGTTTTATACATGCACTGAATCCATATTTTTGTTTGTTTGATGAAATGTAACTGTTAAGTCCAATTACAGAAACATATTCCAATGTTTGAGTTGATAATATTCAATAGTTCATTAATGTTGTTACTTCTAATGTTCAATAGTTCTAGTGAATTAATAAAATTCTAAAATGGAAATTAAAAAGTGTAGGGTTCAATTCCTATTCATGGCTACATTGAACTGAGTAATCAATATTTAAATATTTTTTGTAGACAAGATGGCTTCTGTTATAAAATCTTTCATGAATATTTTTCATAATTAAAGTTAAGAGAATAATCTTGTTATGTAAAGATTCTATTTTATTTTATTTTTTTGATCTTGTTATGTAAAGACTATTTTCTTTTCTTTTTCTTTTTCTTTTTTTTAATCTTGTTATGTAAAGATTCTATCTTCTTTTAAACTTAAGACAACTGAAATTCCACCATTTGAAACTGTAAAGTTTTACCAGATTAATAATTTTGTTAAACTAATCCCAGTCAAGTATACAATACATAATCTACTGATCCCTTTTTGTCATTATTTAAGTTAGGAATATTTAATGGGTCAAAGCTTAGATCAGCATTTCTCAAGCTTTTTACCCTTGTGGAACCCTTGAAATAGTCTACATGTCTCAAGGACCCCCCCACATTGCATAAATATGCTATATACTATTATTAATATCTCTTATAATAAACAAGGATTTTCCAACAATATGCCATACATATATAGTAAAATTACAAATATAAAATTACTCAAAAATGCATTAGTCTATCACTGGTTCTAGCAGAACATTTAGCAATTTTTTGTGGAACCCTAAGGTTCCAGAGAACACCACTTGAGAAACATTGGCTTTGATCAATATGGACAAGTGTTAGTTTTACAATCCTGTTGACTAACTGTTGTAATTACTAACTATAACCGTAAATGCTATGCTAATATTTTCTTTCATACTTCTCGCTTGTGATACTCTTCCGGCTTCTTGCTTTCTTGTCAGCAACAATCTTCAAAAATCTAAATCCACGTCCGTCGTTATATTCTGTCCCCTTGAATCCTGTTCTTTATTTTTAGTGTCCGTTTTTCCTCAGTAATTTTTTCTCCATTGCTTTCACACTCAGTAAGCCTTTACATCTTAGTGGTGTTATCACCTTGCTTGCTTAAAAAAGAAAATTAATGTCTTGAAAAGTCATTTCTGCATTCAAAACAAAATAAGAGAAAAATCTCAAAATGGAAAATATCAAAGAAATGCCGTACTACAAATGTTTAAAGTGGATTTGCAATGCACATAATGCTTTTGGGGCTGTCATTAAATATATTTCAGACTTATAAATTGTTTACAAATTTTCTTTTTTTTTTTATCATTTCAAAAATCCATTTTCTGTTTCTTCATTCAGGAGATTGTCACAAAATGCAACATATTTGCGTCCTCAAAATGGTGAGTTTTTTTTTTTAATACTTTAACCCTTTCAGATTTATCTCTTCTCCCACCCACAACTATGGATTGATAAGCCATAAAAAAAACAATTCAATAATTTAATCAATAACCTGTTCACTGCTACATGATTCACAATCCAGCTATCCGAAGTATGGTATTTTAAATTGGAAGTATTTAAAGAAAAATACAATTTAATGACTGCTAATAGAAACTATATATTTGGGCCAAATACAGACCCAATGCCAGTGTGTATCACTGATGGGTGTTGGCTTTAAGTCAGGGTGGAGTCACCACCAATGAAAATTTGCAAGCTAAAATTAATTCACATCATTTTTATGGGTGATTGGGCGTAAATGATTCTCTTGGAAGGCCAGGCCTGTTCATATATACCATATTCACGTCACACACCTCATTTATGATGGCCATCTAAACATTAACCTTCTGCTTTGAATGACTCTCGAGCCTTGTATTGGATGAACTTTAGTATAAAATAAACAGAAAATAAAACCAACACCAGACAAGAATGGGTAGGTACAAATGATGAAGATGACATATATTTCTTTATTTATACTCATGGATTGGTTGCACTTTTTTTCACTAAGATTTTGATAAAAATATGGGGTGTGACCTATCCACTCAACATCATGGGGAATCTTAAGTACACTGTGGCATATCAGTAGTGCAGCTGTGCACCCTGGGCTCGAGCATAAGTGATAGTAAATGTAATTTGAATAGAAAATAATGATATAATCAAGTGGTTCCACATTTCTTCAAATAAAAGGTTAAGAAGGAAACCCCCATCAAGAGTGATAACAATAGATTTGAGAGACCTATTTTCCTGAAAAAATTGTTTTAAGAGAAAGATTATATAAATTTCAACCAAAAGTAGCCCTGGCTGCTCAGTCAATGAATGCAAAATGTTTCCTTATCATGAAATGGCTAATATTACTATTATAATGGAAATACAGCAGCAAAATACATTCAATGATCAAGCAGCCATAGCTACTCAAGTTACACTTTTATCTTACTCCTTGCGTATCAGGATAGGCTCAAAGTGTAGTATCTGTTCTCCTCAAATCTAGACACGGTCAACCACTGTAGATTACCAAAAGGCACAATGACCAAAACATTGCGATAATGATGAGGACACATTTAAATAAAAACTATTTCTATAAATCTTCTTGTGTTTTTGCAAGAATAAAAACAATTGCTTATTTTTTATTTATTTTTTTTAATCACTTCACCCCAAGCAAGGCACCGACATTTTGATTTTACGCTCTCGCCTCTTCCAACAGTACCATGTTGAACACTGACTAAAACCGCTCGATCTGCACTGCTCATACTTGCCATTTATTTTCTGATTTACAAGAGATGATCATTTTCAAATGATTTTAAGACTGAAGCAATTACCAGTATCCAAATTTTCATCTAAACAGAGCAGCCCCACACTCGATAAGTAAATACCACACAATTACAACCAATCACTTTTCTTATGTTTTAATATATATAACCAACATTTTGAAATAGAGGTGATTATTTGAAAATATTTAACAAATATTAGTTATATTTACATTAAAAAATGTGCTCATGCAACTCCCCAGTTTATTGTGCAATATAGCTGCAAGTCAACTGCAAATACCCACTTTGACAACCCCAAACTAAGGCATCCTGGGTATGATGATAAACTACATCCAGCAGCAAGGCCTCTGATTGGGAGGTTTTGAGGAACATGGAACCACCTCTTAACTTCTGTTCCTGGGTTTGCCTTGACCTGCAGTGGTAGCATTTGTTAGGGTCCCAGTTATGGGCAAATAGTTAACCCCCTGGTGTCAAAACTCTCTGAAAGTATAAAAACACAGTTTTTTTCTAAGAAAAAAAATATTACCAGCAATACAGCAATACATTTGACTCTCAACAAAAACCCCCTTTACAAAAATATGTCAATAAAACCAGATCTGTAAACTGATTTTGTACAAAAATATATATTCTATTCATATGAATCTATCCCCCCCAAAATTTGCCAGCATTAAATAACCCATTGAGCTTGATATGTCAAACAAAATAAACCAAACTAAGGGCATGATTTGGCTAGGAATGGTTTTCTGAGAACTTTTTCATGTGCAGATGTAACAGATTCTTCCTTCTTGCTCACAAGCTGGGCATTTATATAACTTCCTAGTTGTTGTATATATATATATATATATATATATATATATATATATATATATATATATATATATATATATATATCCTAAGTTCAGTTGGGTTTTTTTTTTATCTCAGTGGAAAGTACCAACATCTTTTGAGGGTTGATTCTGCACTTGATGGCCATGAGTTTACCTTCTAGGTCAACCCCTCGAGATACCTTGATCTTTTTATGTTCTGATGTGACACTGAGTATTTATTTTGTTCTCTCTTAAAGTGATCCCAGTACATATTGGGGGCCACCACATATTAACACCTCTTAGATCAAAGGTTCTTGATAGACATTAATTTTGATTCGGACATCTGGTACCTCTTGGCATGAGTCACATTCCTCAATACTAACATTCAAGTAATTTGACAAAAGTTGTGAATGTTGAGCCTTTTTTTAAAAAAATTACTTGTTTTTTTTTTTTTTCTTTAAGATGTTTATGAAGACGCTCTCAAGTTTTATCAAAAAGTTAAGAAGCGTCCAACCACAGTTGCTTCAACAGATTTTCAAGTAAGTAACCCCCCCACACACACGCACACACACAAAATCTTCTTTTGAGAATATTAAAGCTTTACCTCATTCTTGTTCCAGTAAGTCTCCTAAACCTTTTCTCATTCCTTGTTATTCTTGCTGAGTTGACCTTAAATAATGTTTCAACTTTGTTAATCCCTCCATGTTTCAAGAAAGAGAATTCAGTCGTCTTTTTTTTTCTTTTTTCTTTTTTTTTTAAATCTCCACAATCTCTTTAGTTTTCTGCTTCTATTTCATGTAGTATTAAAGTTAAACAATTCTTATTGATTGATTTGTTTTATTCTAAGGCTTATCAACCTTTTGCAGGTTATTTAAAAACAGAAAACATTTTGGGGTTGTAAGTATTTTAGGAGGATACTAATTATTTACTGGGTGCAAGTACTACTATTTAATCCATAGCTGGAGGGAGAAGAGGTAGATTTATGTCTTTCCCAATGATATTTGTGTGTAAATGAATATAATGAACCTGACTGAAATTGGAACTCAGTTCTCTGATTTCCAATTCTGGACCATTATTCATTGCACCACTCACACATCCACGCTTACAGCACCTGGTATTCTCAAGTGGTCACCTATCCAGATACTGGCCAGACTTGACTTTGCTTAACTTCAATGAGCAAATGAGAACTGGTGTTTCAACCTGATATGGCCACAAGCCTAACCAATTTAGTTACAATGATATTGGAAACGTTTTTACCCCAATAAATAAGCCCTTCCAAAAAACAAATTCTGATGCTTTGTCAGATTTTTTTTAAATGAATCTGATTGAGAACTTTTCAGCACCTCCTCATAATAATCACCTTGTCTGACTTTATTGTTCTGAGTTTAATTATGAAAAGTCAGACAACAGTGAAAGTTAATCTAATCAGAAGAAAATCATTTCAAGATTGAAATCTCTTTAAGTGCATTTCATTATTTTCTTCCCATCATACAAAATTGAATTAACATTTTCCATTTTTCGATTTCTATAGAGTATTTGTTTTATTTTAATGTTCTCAACCATCATGCTCAATATACGAGCTTCTTAAAAATTGATTTTATAACTGCTACAGATTTTAATACTCTTTATATACTTGATAAATATTTGTTTTGCATTACAGTTTTCTCCATATTTTTGTCTTCATCAGTCACATACTTACATATTTTACTATTGTCTTTTGATTGACAGCATTTTCATGAATTTTTAACAAATTGGCCACAAGTAATAATTTAATGTTTTTTTTTTTTATTAAATCCTTTGTTTCACAACAAGGTTTTTTTTTTTTTTTTTTCTACCCATAATTTTATTTTTTTTCTACCCATATTTTTTTTGGTTAATTTGCAGTGTAACACCTACACTCAGTTCTTATTAAAAATTTCCAAAATATTTGTGTAATTGTACATGCTCCATTCAAATCTGACTTGCTTGATAAAGTTGACAAAATCTATCATTTTGGAGTTATCGGCAGTGAAATTTGGGATTCAGTCATGTCACAGGCAGCCGCCATTGCTCGCGTTGTTTGCATACATTCGCTGTGGAAAGCTAAACGTGGAAGACTACGGAAAGCTAAGCTTGAAACTGATCTTTCTTGTCTAAATTTGTCACAATTACTGCGCACAAGAACTATTTACAAAGTCATGCTCAGTTTGCGCAATGACACCTACACTGATATCTATTCTGCAGTGAATGTATGCAAACAATGCCTGTAATGGCTGCCCGGGATGCGAATGAATTCAACCTTTCATTGTTGATAACTCCAAAACAGTAGATTTAATCAAATTTATAAAGCCAGATTCGAATGGAGCATGTACAATTACACATAAATGTAAGAATTCTGGAAATTTTTAATGTGAACTGAGTGCGGGTGTTACACTGTAAATTTTTTTTTTTTTCATTTTTTAGCCATAGTTTATGAATTTGTTAGTTTGACATTTGAGGATAATACTTCAATCTGTCTGTTACTAACTTTGCATTTACATGCAATCCAGGAATATTTGTTTTAAAAATCCTAAATCATTTTATAGGACTGTTATTACTTACCCTCAGTTTGTTTAATTTTAATGTAAAATGCTCTAATAAATAAAATGGCATGAAGTTTTCAAATTTCATGTTTGTTGCTAATTTGAAAAATAAAGATTAACTTATGGATCATTCTGTTGTAGCCATAGAAAACAAAAATAAATATGAAGTAAAAAAAAAAAAAAAAAATTAGAATTTTAATTTAATTTTAATCTTTAAATTTGCAATGACAATAATTATAAACTCTTTAATATGAAAACTTCCAAAACTGTTCTAAACTGCTAGTTTCCCAGAATGGTTCAAGCCTTTTGTGTTTTCAATTTCCTCCTTTTCTAACTTGAACCCTGAATGTTATGATTGTATTACCTTTTTCTTTTGGTAGAATCCATTGAACTCCTCTTCAAATCTCCAACAGATGTCAACAAAATGTAAGTCGGCACCTTGTCCACAGCCGTTTGTGCCCGAGCCACAAGTCATGTAAGCATTTATTACAGCAAAATTTTCTTTTTCCCCTCCATATATTTTTGAATATTTTTCTTTCATATGTCTCGGGGTGGGGGTGGGGGGTAAAGCCTTTCCAGCATGTATTTTTGTACAATATTAGGGAAATCTGTTAAGTTTACTTGGTTATTTATTGTATGTCAAATCTAATGCCTTGTTTACAAGCCATAGAGAAAATTCAAAGACTAGAAACTTGAGGGGAGGGGAAGGACATTGGTCATCTTTTAAATTCTTGTCTTTCTCTTATTGTTTAACACAGAAAAGTAATTGTTGAAGGCTTTTTTTCTTTCTTTTATTTTAAATTTTCAAGTCGGTTTTAGGCCTGCTACTGGTAACATGTAACCCAGGACAACCTACCGCATAAACGGGTGGTTGGCATCATTTAAACCATTTCCCCTACTAGCTTTTTTGCTGGTGAGGAGGGTGACGTGTCACCCTCACAGAACAAAAAGGGCAGATGAGCTTCTTATAGGACCCAACTGCCAATATACATTATATTAGGTACTATGTGATACCTAAGGTTTAAAATGAATTTTTAAAAAGGAAAAGTCTTTCTTGAAGCTTCTATTTTAGTTTTAATTTCAAGCTAATAGATTAAATTTAATATTTCCAATAAACAAAAATACTTTACTATATTTCAAAAACTAATTTAAATTGACTGGAATGAGTTTTTTTTTTTATATCACTGATTAGCACCCATTTTTAGTCGTCATTCATTGCAGTATAATTCTCTTTATTAAAAATCTTCCAAAAATAAAATATATTTTTCTGAAACTTTATTTGAGGAATATTAGCTGATTTAAAGTATAATTAATCTGATTTGAAACAAATATATACTTTAAGTTTAAAATATTGTAGAAATGCATTTTAAGCTGTTGATATGTTTGACAGCTTGATGACCATCTAATGTTCTGTGGAATCTTCATCCATAAAAAATAATTGAATATAAAGCAAGCACCTTTTATATATCATTTTAAGTACTCAGTAATCTTAAAAATTCAAGAAAATACTCTCTGTAATCTAATGTTCCATATAAATTTTAGTTACTTTCTGGCTTTAAATTTACTATAGTTATTGCTCTTATTTTCAGATATTGTTGTGTATAGATGCCCATATCTGCAAAAGTCAACACGTTTATACACATACAAAAAATTCAAAATTCTTTTAAAAATATTGGTGTTTAACCCTTTGATCCCTGACCACCACTTTAACAGTGGTAGAGAAAAATATTGTAATGTCCAGCCACCAGTTGAACAATGGTAGAGAAAAATGACTTAATGCCCAGCCACTGGTCACTGGTTGAACAGTAAACACTTGTAACTGAGTAAAAAAAAAAAAAAAAAATCTCAGTAAGCGTAACAAGTAGCAGCAGCAGCACACATCAGCAGGCAGGTTAGGTTTAAGGCTCCAATTTTTCCACTCAGAATTGTCTCACAGGATAATAGTGGATTAAAGCATTGGTTCATGAATTTGGTGATATAGTAATTGCAAGTTCAATCTCTATCAGTGTGTACTTAAGAGACTGAATGGTACTAAATAAGAACTAGATGCGATATCCCTGAACATGAATGAAAACAATCTACCCTCCCTGCTATATATTAAATAAGGTTACTTGGATCAACAAGTACCTGATGAAAGTCAGTGCACAACAGGCAAAACATGATTACAACAACAAAGATAGGGACAATAGTCCACGTGTAAATAAGTTATAAATTTGGTTCTTGATGTGATAGAATAACCTGCCACCCCTATGAGTGGCAGCACTATAGGTGGTAACCAACTATAAGTATCCATGAGGACAGCAGACGGGAGAGAACTAGCAGCCTTCCAATAGCAGCACGCACACAACTGTACTGACTTGTGACAACCGTGCATATAACTATTACTTCCTTACTTGTACTGATTTCTACAATAAACCTGTTACTATTTATCCACCGTGTTTGTCCATTCCATATTCCTATTAGCATGGAATATAACAGTTCTAAATTGAAATGGGAGCAATTTCCATCCCATATTAAACAGTCATCACATTGTGCCTTTCATTTTCATTGCTAACTGATTGTTACCAAATTTGTTAGATAGAATTAAAAATTGTTATATACCTTTTATCATATTTCTCTCTTTGTATTTGTAAGAGAAGGACAGGCATACCATACCTAGCCTTTCTCTCTTGCCTTGACGGGTGGCTCTACTACAACATTCACAACTGATGAAAGTTCAACAGGGTCTATAAAATGAAATAATGTCTGGTACAGATTCTCCTCGTCTATGAGGAAAAATGGTACAAACTGAACCTTTGGTCAGCTAATGTTCATTTCCACCAAATGACCAAAGAGGACATCATCACCCGCAACATGTAATGCATAAATTTAAGTATATTCTATTTGTAATGATTTTTGTTTTTTTCGTTTCTTTATTTTTGCTGGCGGAACTTATTGGGGGTGCTCATCAACATTTCCCTCTGTGTGAAACGAGTCCTATGTTGGATCTGAAGAGACATTCACAGCCACTGCACGGTAGGGTAGGAGGGTTCAGGAGATGGAGAACTCTTCATTTCTCCTATTAATCTTCTGGTGTCTTCAAAGGAGGCTGTTTTTTCATGGACTGCTCTTCTCAGCCTCTGTCTCCCAACTAACTGGATTCTATGCTCAAAGACTTTTCTTTTTTATTTGTATATTTCATTCAGAATTCTTATCTGTTCAGGTCTTCCCTCAACTCCATCCAGAAAATGCTACATCTTAGACAGTCACGCAAGAAAATTCATAACAAAACCTCTAGAACTGGTAAGCATTTTTTTTTTTTTTTTTTCTAAGTATTTTTGCAACATCTTGCAGCTTATGTATTTTGTTTTAAATTTTGTTCAGCACTTTTTATTCATTTTTTTGAAACATTTTGAAAGGAACAAATCTTAATTAAAACATAATTGGAAGTTTTTCATAATGTTTCTTTAAATTTCCAATCATCTTCAATGAAGAACTCAAAGCCTACAAATTTGATAATTCTTTTTATATTTATCTTGGAGAATCTGTCTGTGTCTAGATTTCTATTCTAAAAGAAGGAATTTCCAAGATTTTCAAGTTTATGGCTAATAGTTCTGCAGAAGAAACCGTTTATTGTAATCACTTTGAGGAGCAGGTTCTTTTGATATCAGTAACTGGCTGATAACATTAATCAAAGGATATTACTTTTTTTTTCTTTTTTTTTTTTTTTTTTTATCCCGTAACCCATAGGGTCGTAGGGGCACCATGTGTACTGCAGCTGCAGTAGAAGTGATGTTTATTGGGCAATATAGCCTGAGGGAACCCAACCCTTTCCAGAACAGTTTTGAATTCAGTTTTTCCTTCTCCTAGACTGGTTGCCGCCCAAGGTTATAGAAACCAGTCTGTCCTGCTATTTACCCATAACTGGGGGAGAAGAGGATTCATAACTTTTCCAAAAGTATTAGTATGTAAGTAAATGTAATAGATCCAACTGGAATTTGAACTCGGCTCTCCGATTCCTCAATCCAAGTCGCTATCCATTACTCTACCATGCACCCATATAAAAAAAAAACAAATTTCAATTCAATAAATTTCATGTAATTTTTTTTATCGTATCGTGCAAAGGTTGTAAAAATTAAATTAATTTGTCTCACTATAAAAATTGGAACAATTTGAATTAAGTTTTACATCCTTTGCATGATATGAAAAAAATTTACATGAAATTTATTAAATTGAAATTATTCATTTTAAATATTTGGTACCAAATTATTTTGATAACAATAACTGTTTGGTAACATTATCTGTGATTCTAATAAATAAAACCTTTTTTTCATATTTGAAGGCATCAGGTCACCCAGTTGTCATTGCCTTTACTTCCTTTCTCCCACACCAGTTTCCATATGATCACCAAAGTTAAGCAATGTCAAGCCTGGTCAGTACCTAGATGGGTGACTGCTTAGGAATATCAGGTGTTGTAAGCTTATGTGTGGGTGGTGTAATGCTTGGAATTCTTAATCAGAGAACAGAGTTCCAATTCCAAATGAATTTGTTATATTCACTTATGCATAAATACTCTTGGGGGGGAAAAGTATGAATCCGCCTCTCTCACACACCCCCCATCACCACCACCAGGTATAGGTTAATTAAGACTTCTATCACTAAACCATTATCTTCAAAAAAAAATCTTACTATCTAAAAATATTTTCTAGCTTTAAATAACCTTTAAAGTATTGAAAAGCCTTAGAAAACAAATCAATGGAATCTTATTGAAAGAAGACTTGTGGGCAATAAAAAGAAATTGACAGCTTTAAGCCTAGAAGAGATCTTTCAGATTTGAATTTTGCATTCATATTAATTTTTACTCTTTTGGTATAAGGCTGTTTTTTTTTTTTTTTTCATTTGCTTTTTATCAAAATATGAGAGGTTATTGAAAAGTTCTCAGCCCAGTCAAAAAGGGATTTAAAAACTTTGATATCTGGACAAATTTTGGAAAGTGGGTTGGTTGGACTGAGAACTTCTCAGTACTCCACTGTGTGTAAATTTTTATTTGTTTGGAGTTGAAAAATATGCATATTCAAAAGTGAATGCCAATTTTGAATTATCAAAAAACTTTTTCTTGCTTTTATTTGTAGTCATGATTAGAGAAAACTATACTGCCTCAAGAAAAATACGAAAAAAATATTGAATTTTGAGCAACTCTTCCTTTATGAAGAGTTGCTCAAAATTCCAATTTGTTCTCTCTATTAAGGTGTTAACAAGCACTCAAGATTTCAGTCCTTGGTTCAAGTAATAGGGGAACAAAAAAGTTATATTCTGGTTCAGTGGAAGAGCTGAGATCCATGATAATAATGAATTAAAACAGAAGCTTTAACTAATACAAGATTTCTTCTAACACGGACAACTGAATGAGAACAAATCTATTCTATGGATTGAATGAATTTTCAGAATGTTACCATGCGGTTGAAGAAGACTGAAAGTTGTGATGAACAATGAAGTTGAGGACACTTGTCTTTGTAAATAAGTGTATAATAACAAGAATTCTGCATTTTAAAAATTCAGACAAAAATTAATATTTTTGGCATAGAATTTAAGTCCTTGATGGTATAAAAGTCATAAGTAACAAAAAAAAAAAGATAAAAAGTAACTGAATTTCTTTCTCTCAACTATATGCAGGAATCATTGCCCAAAATAGTCTTCAAATATCTAATATTTAAGAAACAACCTAATTAAATTCTGAGTTTAACAAGCAGTTTTCTAAAACCTATTGAATGAAAATATTTCACTGAACAATTGGGTTCATTAACATTCCAGAATGTTTTGAAAATAATGTTAACTATCAAAATATGAACGAATGAGAATTGTAGTTGAGTTTATTAGAGATTACTGATTTTTTTTTCTTTCTCGCTTAATCTCTACATAAAAACAAAAACAAGGATTGTGTGACGCAATTGCCTCCCTTCGACCAAGTAAATCTCAACTTCCACGTTTAAAGTTTTCATAAAATTCAATATTCTGTAGCTAAAATGCTCAATTTAAAAAAAAAAAAAAAAAAACACTGCCAAGATCTTCTGTAGCTGAAAAATGGTATTTTTTTTAATTTGTCCTAATGTTATGGTGGAAATTAGCCAACAAGATTGTTGATACAGCTTCAATCAAATTGACATTTGGATTTTATTGATGATCCAGTAGAAGCAAAATCAAAACTATAAAATGATTGATAAATATAACGCAGGAGGTAGAAAATGGAAATGTGAAGTACTGTAAAATCTCAAGTGGCAAGCAATCTTCAAGTATATTATTTATAATATACTACTCATTTTTATAGCAAATTGCTACAAAACCAAAACATTAACCTAAGAACTCAAGACAGGTTTGAAAATAGCCTTGTCAAACCAAGAGTTTCATAAATGGATGTTATGCATGGCATCAAAATCGTTGAGAAATATCTAAACTGTCAGCTGTATACAACCACATTCTCAAATCAATGGTTAAAAATGGTTTTGAGCAAATGAAAACTAAATCTTAGAAAGGACTATCTTTCTTCAAACCTTGTGGACTGGCACCGCATAATCACAAACAAAGGACTGTATCAAATAATAGATGCTACATCACTTACAGATTTTCAACAGAAGCAACAGCTAAAATGGATAGTAAATAAAACTTGAATAGTAAATAATGATATAATCAAGCAGTTCCACACTACTTCAAATAAAAGGTTAGGAAGGAAACCCCCATCATAAGTGATAAGAATAGATTTGAGAGACCTATTTTCCTGAAAAAATTGTTTTAAGAGAAAGATTATATAAATTTCAACCAAAAGTATCCCTGGCTGCTCAGTCAATGAATGCAAAATGTTTCCTTATCAGGAAATGGCTAATATTACCATTATAATGGAAATACAGCAGCAAAATACATTCAATGACCAAGCAGCCATTGCCACTCAAGTTACACTTTTATCTTACTCCTTGCATATCAGGATAGGCTCAAAGTGTAGCATCTGTTCTCCTCAAATCTTGACACAGACAATCAACCACTGTAGATTACCAAAAGGCACAATGACAAAAACATTGCTATAATGATGAGGACACTAGTCCAAATTTAAATAAAACTATTTCTATAAATCTTCTTGTGTTTTTGCAAGAATAAAAACAGTTGCTTTTTTTTATTTTTTTTTTTAATCATTTCACCCCAAGCAAGGCAGTAAAGACACAAGACACATTAGTCTGAAAGAATATGAGAAAAAAAAAGGAGAGAGAACAATAAAAGAACAGGAATTAAGATAACAATTGACATTGCATTCACATTTTTGAAGATCAAAGTTGACTAGGAAGCAAGAAGCCAGAAAAGATTTCTACAATCGAGATGCACAATAGAAGAATCTGTTAGCATAGAACTTGGTTACATTTAGCCTTTTCAACTGTAAAATGATGAGACCTTTCTACCAATCTAGTAATACACTTAAATTCATAAAGTCTAGAGGAAAGTTCATCAGAACAATTATCATGAGTGTTAATAGAAAAGCACAAGCTACATTTTGGCAGTGGGAAAGTGACTGAAGCTGAGATGCCAGGTCAAGAACAATAACATTGCAGATTTTTGGATTTCATCAAGAACTTCTAAATATAGAGCAGAAACACCAGACCAGATGTGGTAGCAGTATTCAAAACATTTATTTGATGGAAAGTGCTTGACATCTAAGTAAGACAACAATAAGTAGTCCAAGTGTTTGGGAGATTTTTTTTTTTTATTCTTACTGAGTGTACCACATTGGTGGTGATAGATAAAATTTGTTTTTCTTTTTGTTCTCTCTATAAAAGTATATGGAAATATTAGAATAAGTCTTGAAATAACAAAAATGATTTCTTTTAGAATTTCAGGATATCATTTACATTCTGATTTTAAGATAGAATCTTGCAAATCTCACAAAAAAAAAAAATCATCAAACTTATTCTATCTGTTTGAAAATTGATGTTGGTAATAAACTGAAAAATCTTTATTCAAATAGGAATTGGGGTATTGAAAAGTTGTTGGCCCAATCCACTTTCCAAAGTCTGACGAAACATCAAAATTTATTTTGGGGAATTCCTCCTAGGTCAAATAAAAATTTTCAGCAACCCCTCATAATTTGCAATTGACAATGCAGCAAGTGGCTTATTCTAAATTATTTAATTATAAACAGTTTTATTAAGAAGGTATTCTTTTAATATCTCTTCATTAAATTAGATGCCAGCCATTCAAAAATGTCCAACACTTCATCTGACCAAGACCTTGATTCTTCTTCAAACCAAACCATAACTATTTCTTCCACTCAGAATCTCACATTGCAGAGTGATGAAGATCTTCATTCTGATGATTCCAATTTTGATTTGCTTGACTCTCGCAGCTTTGGTAAGTTGTTTTTTTCCTCCATCAATTTAAAAAAAAAAAAAAAAAAAAAAAAAGCTTCTCCCTCACATTGATTTTTGTGTATAAAATCATGGCAGAGAGAGTTGCATAGTTACATCCACTGCCTCAAGTCCTATTCAAGTCAAAATTTTGAATGTTAATATTTCTTTCTTTGAATCAAACAAAAGCACTCTCCTAAGCTTTTTCTACTTTGTGTTCTTTGTCATTTGCATTTGTATTGACTAAACTTAGTTTGATAAATATTTTGGTAACCAGTCTTGGAGAAGAAATTCAAAACCAACCCAAATAGGGTTTGGCTCCGCTTGGCTACCTTGCCATAGACACACCAGTATTGTTATTGATGCCCCAACGACCCTAATGGGTTTTACAGAACTTGTGCATGCAATAAATCTCTTTAATCTGTTTTCTGCTATAGATGAACTCATTCCTTTTGACAGTTTAGTGCCATAAATATCTTTTTAACTCTATGCCTTATGCATATTTTAAGATATTTCAAACTTGTTTAAATTATTAAAATATTCTAATACATTTATCTTTGTTGTTATTAACCAGGTAGGCTAGCCCATTGAGTATAAGGCCACAGAACTCAACATGCTGGGCGGGGTGCTGTGGTTTCCATAATAAGAGAGTTTTTATGGAGTGGAGATGATAGATCCACTCCCAACCGATTATGAATTCAAAATTCTCATTCTAGTCTGATTACCAACCAAGGTTTGAGAGCCCAGATTACTCTGCTATTTAACCCATAAGTGGAGGAGAAGAGATGGATTCATACATTTCCCAAGGGTATTTGTGTGAAAAACTTAACAGCTTCAGAAATTTGAACCCAACCCTTCAATCCCACTTTCTGTGCTAATAACCACTAAGTTACACACACACACACACACACAATCATTTATTTAATATTCTGTTATATATATTGGTTGATTTGTTTGAAAATAGAAGCATTTTAAAAAACACAATGAAGACGTTCTAATTTTATCAATTTTTGAGAAACAAAACCCACAGCTTTACATTTTTTTTAAAATCTTCCTTAGCAGCAAATAGGTTCAGTTCTGATCTGTGACATCTTAAAAAATTTTGTCCACAATTCAGGTTTATTGTTGATTTAATGTTTCTGCTTTTTTTTTTTTTTTCCAGGAAAGTCCGAAGATGGCTTGGAAAGTAGCTCATCCGAAGATTTGATGTCTGAATGTGAATCATATTGCTCAGAGAAACTGTCATGACAGTAACTCTCTCCTAACTGAATATTGTCACAAAGTGATGTCATTTTAATATTAAACTGTCATCTGCTTAATTAAACACAGTCTTACACATGGTAGACATTTTTGCATTAAAAAAACAAAAATGTCAAAACATTGTAAATGTAAAATTATTATTATTATTGAGGCCAAGCATTTTTCATGCCTCCAGTTTGTCCTTCCAAATTACCTTCTTTCAATTAGTTACACCTGGTTGTGTTTGTGTTTCTCTTATTATTTATCACTTATGAAAATATTTTGCTTAATTCCCACAATTAATTGGGACTTGCTTATGGCAAGATATTTAGAAATTACTAGCTAAAAATTGACAGTGAACCTTCCCTATAAAATTGGGATGACTAAAAAAAAATCCAAAGATTTTCTGGTAATAACATCCAAGTAGTTTTTCTTCTTTGCAAAACTACACTGAAAAAACTTCTCAAGGTGACAAATGTCCATCAAAGAAAAACCTGACCAAGAAAGAAGTTAAACAAGATATATGCTTTGACTGAGTTTGGGTAGTATCATGGATTTTACAAGTATATTTGGATCATTTAATCATGACTGGCATTCTGGGTTAGTTGGGGATGTGAGGGAATGCACAAAACTGAAAAATTTTAATTTTTAAAAATCCAGAAATTGAATTTAAAAAATAAAAAAAATGGTTTCAACTTATGACTCAAATGAAACAGTAGAGAAAACTATTTTTAAAGCAGATATCTCCAGAGACCTGTTGGGAATTTACCAAAAGATTCACTTTTCATGCAGTTCACACTCCTTCCCAGTCTTTTGAACAGGTGTCGAGGTGTGTCCCCTATTTCCTGTTTAGGATTGGGTTTCTGGTTCTTCTAAAGTTTTTCTCATTCTCTTTCATTCCCAGTATCTCCTTGCGCATTATCGCCTTGCTTGGAGTGAATTAAAAAAACATATCTATCAGTTTCTGGCTTTAATTTTTTCCTGAGTTTCAGGAAAAGTGTCTACACAATGGAACTGTGTCTTCATCCATTTCTATAAGGGAAACATTTAAGTGAAGATTTTAATTTCAGAACAGCACAAATAGTCGACATAAATCTGAAATCCACAAAATTGAAAAATTATCATTATTTACATTCCGACTAGTGTCCTCATCTTTGTTACTATTTATGACAACATTTTAGCCTCTGTCACCATTGACTTCCTTCGGGTGTCAATCCAGGTAATCTTCATGGAATTTCAAACCAAATAGAAGTAGACCGTTTTCATTCTGTTGTTCATGTCTTGGGATATCAACTCTTGTTTTTTTACTCTACCCAGCCCAGCAGTTGAACTCGGTCACCAAATTCACAAACCAACGCTTTAATCCACTCGGCTATTATCACATAATTAAATTGAATCTCTTTTCCATCTGCCATTTATATCTGCTGATTATTATAGATAGGAAATTGATGAATCTGCACAAATCATCTTTGAAGTTGGATTTCCAAGCTGACCTTTAATTTAAATGTCTGTTTTACAGCAGGGATACTAGCTTGCTACTAAAGGCTTTTAGTGTTGTTACTGGAGATCCATCCCTTTGACAGCACCTCCCAATGGTAGTGTATAACCTGATATCTTCAGCAACATTGATCGAGACTTGCTTTGTTTGTTTCTCTCTCTGCATATTAAAAAAAACAAACCTTTCATTGTATTTTTCCCATTTGTAGATATAAAAAGTGAAATGATACTGCAAAATAAGTTACCATACTCTCCTTGCAAGCCTTTGTTTGTGTGGACCAAAAAAATTAATCAGAAACCTTTAGTTTTAACCGAGTCCATTCAATTCCAAAAGGTAAATATACTGTCATGTCCCTGCACACTTTTTAAATTTGTCAGAATTGCTCATTTTTCTTTATTAATTCCAACAATGTTGGAAGAAAGTCAGCAACATTTGTTTTAGTGACCTCTATGTGCTCTTGGATCTGTTTCTATTTTGGCGTGTTCCTGCCAGCATGCGTGTATATATGCGTGCGTATATTTCCTTACTACGAGGAATTAAGTAAACTTATTTGTACCTATACACGCATACACACACACACACTATCCCACCACAAGTAGTCAGTACACACACACATATACACACATATTTCCCAAGCTACATGGAACCAGTACACACACACACACACACACACACACACATACACACACACACACACACACACACACGTACTTCTTAAGTTGTCAACATCCGCATATACATACATAAATGTATGTATGTGTACATACACATATATATCTCTCTCGTGTCTCCCGTATATGAGTGTGCGTCCATGTATGTGAGCGATCATTGTATTTGGTCACCCTGTGTGCATGTTTTTTTTTTTTTTTTTTTTTTTAAAACATTAAAAGATTAAATGCCGATAACTACTCGCTGGACAAACCTTAATTGTTTTATGACCCTTCACGCAGAACTCTTCATTGACAATTCTAGAAAAGAAAATTCGGATTGCCAACACACAAACAGAATGTCTCATATCGAGAATATTCCATTGAACATGAAGAAAAATTAATTATTTTTAATAATATGTAAAAATCTCCACTTTCACCTGAAGACGGTTTAGACCAGACCAGAAACAGAAATTATGTAAAACAAAGTATAATATTTTTTCTCAATAAATCCAAATTAAAAACGTTTATAAAACAATATATATATATATATTTTCTCAACAAATCCACATTACAACCAAAAAACGTTTGACTTCAATGTTCACCCCTCTTCTTTTTAATATATATATATAAGACTATTTATTTATATATATATATATATATATATATATATATATATATTTAATATTACGAGATGAAAAAGTTTGAAGCTCCTCTCTTCAGGCTTCAAGATTTAAAATTAACACAGAAAATCTTAAAAAGAATTGGAAAAGAACTATGACTATAAACACTTTATGGGATAAAGTGTTCTTAATGTTTGAGATAGGCGAACTATGTTCGGGAAATATTCAAAAGGAACATTGTTTTATTCTCATGTCAAGACTTAGAGGTGACAGTCTGTTTCAATTAATATGATAGGGAGAACTAGACGCAACATAGGCATTTGAAAAATAATCTGCACTTCAGCAGAGAAAAGCGACAACGAACATTGGATGAAATTTGTTTAGCTATTTTTTTCACATTTGGTATTGCTGAGGTAAACTGGGCATTTTTTTTTTGACTGTAGAGCTTCACTTCTGAACTCTTCAACTTTACTACGGATAACTGAATTAACAGTATCAAGAAGATAACACAAATTACATAGGGTGTCCTTAATAAAGTCAATTTCGTCGTTCAAGAAAGGCTCAGAGCAGATCTTTAATGCTCTATGTAGGAGGGTTTTAATAATGTTAATCTTGTGCTTAGTGGGACAAAAAGAGTCCCAACGCGTGTACAATATAAAATATCTTTAAAAATATATATATATATATATATATTTGTAATTGAATGCAGCCCCCAGCCAAGAGTTTTTCTCTTCAATAATGACAATTAAAGTGTAAGCCTCACAGTATTCGATACCATGCTCTAGATGCTGATGTTAATATTTAAATAACCATTTACTAAGCTTTGTCTGACACAAAGCCACAAGTGTGGGGCACTCTATTGTTAAGCAGAAATAACTCCAAGACTTGTGTGTATTAATATACGTGTTTCATTGCTGCCATCTTATCAGGAACTGCCCCGCAGTTAAAAGCCCCTTAAGGCATTACAGATATTGGGCTGCTTATGTATATAAGTCAACCAACATCCTCCAAACGTACAAAAGTCTGAAGTGTTTATTTTATGTGAGTTGCCATTCACCATCTCGGTTGGGTGTCTTGCCTGCAGTGACTCTCTTCAGACGTGGTTGTCTTTCAGTTATGTCCGGTTGTTGCTGTTTTCTTCACTGCCATTGTTGGTGATATCTTGTTTGTGGTTTGTTTCCATCATGTTGCTGTGTTTTGGTCTAGTTGTGAGTCTTAGATGTCTCCTATTTCTCACTAGTCTTTTCCCATTTTCCAGTTCAATCATGTATCATCAGTATTTAAACTTTTCTGTGACAACTGCCTTTTTCCAATATTGGTTCTTGCCATATGGCTGCACAGTCACCTGGTCGCCCTTTCTTAATTCTATCAGGTCATGTGCATTTTTGTCATAGTATTTCTTTTGATGTTGTTTTGCCTTTCGTATTTTAGTTTTTGTTTCTTCCGAATTAAATGGGGATAGAAATTTCTTCATCGTAGGCAGTACACTTCTCAATTGTCTTCCAAAGAATCTCTGTGCTGGGGACATTCCTGTGGATTTTGATGGTGTGTTGGTGAATTCTAGTATGGCCAGACAAGGATCGCTGTTTTCATTATTACATTTTTTTATGATGCATTTTATTTGTTTTACAGCTGATTCTACCATTCCATTGGAGTTTGGCATCTCTGGTGAGCATGGATTCCATCTAAATCCGTATTTATGGGCCAGTTCTCTCATCATTTTGTTATCAAATTCAGGGCCCCCATCACTTACAACTTCTGGGATGCCATATCTCATGAAGTGTTTCTTTAACAGCTTGATTGTGCAACCCGATGATGTTCCTTGGAGTCGATCAACCAAGATATAATTGGAGAAATAATCCACACAGACTAGGTATTTCCTTCCATCCACTGTCATGGTATCGAGGCCAATACATTGGAATGGGTATTCCGGCACTGGTCTTGTGATTAGTGTCTCTTTGCTATTTCTTGCAGAATATCTGCTACACTGTTCGCAGTTGGTATAACATTCCTGTAGTTCGTGCCTCATTCCAGGCCAGAAGATTGTGTCTAGGGCACATCTCATGTTACTTTCAACTGCTAAATGGCTTGTATGTGCCTTCTTCTTCATGTCATTTCTCATTGAGGCAGATACAAAGACTGTCTTTGTAAAATATTAGATCATCCTTTGTTGACAGGTAGTCTCTGAATTTATACAGGTGCTTCAACTGAGGTTCAAGGGCTTTATATCGCATTGGGAAG